CAAACAAATTATTTAGCTTGCTGAAAAACATAATTTGCAACATATTAGTGATGGTGTCGGTGATCAAAGACACATAACTATTATGAAAAAATCTTCAGTTGAAACTATTACAACAAAGAAAATCGTTGAAAATAATCAAGAACAAGAAAAAGAAGAAGGAGTAGAAAAAACGAATGAACAATTTCGTTCGTTTTCTTTATTAGAAGAAGAAAAGAAAGATTCAAATCAAATAATTAATAAAAGTACAAAATTGTCAAAGAAAATTACTGATCAAGACTTAATTTTAAAAGAAAATGAAGAAAGAAAAGTGAGAAAATTTTTTTTTCTCATGAACTTCTTAGTTTCCTATAAACAAATATATTCTAGATTGAATCACCTGTAGTAGATACTGCTAATCTTTGTCGATATTGTCATAAAGATATTCCACCACAGAATCGTCAATTACATGAAATATATTGTCAACGTGTCAATCCATTATCTTCAGTAGCTATTTCAACTAATGAAACCTCTGTAAGATGACTTTTTGTTTGAAATCGAATTTTTTTATTATAATTTTAGGGAACCGAATCTTCAAAATTAAATATTGCTCCAGAACGTTCTAAAACGGTTAAGAAAAAAGAAAATAAATTAGCATCAATGAATGCTGAAGTGCCTATTGATGATTTATTGGAAGCAGCTCGTCAACAAGATAATATTTGCAATGCACATCGATGTAAAGTAAAAATAACTTTATTAGGACAACTTTGTTCATATTGTAATCGTCGTTATTGTTTTGAACATTCAATGCCTGAAGTACATGGTTGTGGTCATCAAGCACGTACAGATATTAGACAAACACATATTTCAACACATGCAAATACCAAACCTGTTTATGAAAATTCACCAATAAACAAAGAAAAGAGACCATATTTAGAAAGAAAACTGCAAGATAAAATTGCATCAAAAGAAAATCAAAGAAAGAAAAAATAAAACTGATGATTTTTATTTTGTTTTATATTAAAATAAATTGTAAGAATAAACACTTTGTTAAGTTATTCTTGTACCTAAAAGTGGCGAGTATTGCTTCATCTATTTGTTTTTATGCTCTCATACGTTATCATCATGATGTAACGAGATCATCTGAAATAATGATTGACTTTTATTTTGCATGCTTGCACTAGCTATTATTGTTGTTGCTGACGTCGACATGTTTCTAGGATAGAAAATTATTACCAATGACTCAACTTCTATCTTTCATTTGACTAATGACATGGTAACTCACAGAAAGGGAAGCCCATATATAAAGTGGCGCATTGACCCATTCTTCATTCAACATATCAGACACGATTGATATATTTACCGTCATTATCAACTATGTTGCGAAGTATTGAAAATCCTAATTGCAGACAACTAAAATCTACTCCTTTCAGGAGCATGCATATCGATGCTATGATTCATTCGTTTGCTGCTAATGTGACCATCGCTCAAGTATTTCGAAACGATGAAACAGCACTAATTGAGACTGTCTACTGTTTTCCAATCGAGGAGTAAGCAGCTATCTATGTATTTATTGCTCGCATCGATGATCGCGAGATCATCGCACAAATAAAAGAGAAACAAGAAGCATAACAACAATAGAGCGAGACTTTACAGCAAGGTCATGGAGCATATTTGCTAGAACAAGATGAAAA